CCTTATTATATCTCCTGCTCTGTCTTAAGTTTATCATCCACATCCTTCTCTGGTCCTTTTGTTTTCCTTCCATCCAATAGTTCTTCATCTGCACAAGACAAGGGCTGAAATCTGTTGCTCAGTACAATAGGCTCATTACAATTAAATCCACTACTTTTAGCCCTAATAGCACTCTTTCTAACTTCCTGAAAGTCATTGTTGGCTGATGTATCCCTTGCATGTAAAACCTTAAGCTCCTCTGGAAATCCAGCTACCACTTCCCACAGTCTACACTTCTCTTTATCTATTACCTCTACTTTAATTACAATAATCTCCACTTCTACTCCAACTTACAAATTCTACATACAAAAGTGCATATTTTCACTACTAGCTTCCTTAAAAGTACATACCAGTCTTGAATTTCCAAATAAAACCCACTCATTGCACCCATCACCACGGACGTTTGCAGGATTTTTTTCCAGGGCAAAGCAGTGTGAAATTGTGAAGTGAATATAAACTGATATACATATGCTGAACGAACAGCGAAACAATTATGTTTCTCATTTTTACCTAACAAACTGTGAACGTTTCATTTCTACACCAGTCTTAACCATTGTATTTATGGCCTAGAAGTAAATAATCAATATTAAATTATACCAGTAGCCTATTGTCAACACTGTTGGTGTTAAGCCTAAGATTTGAGAAGTAATTATATTAGTATTTTATCACTACTTTGTCTTCACACTAAAGTAATTAAATCTATGTTTAATTATGTAGATTTTAGAAATATTTCAAATAGAAGTGACAATAACTATTCTTTAAATTCTGAAACTTAACACAAAAGATCTACTTCATTAATTACTGATTTCACAACATGTTTAACGATATAGCTAATTTATTACGAATTGAGTTCAATAACGAGAAACACTATTATCCTGGTTGCTTTAATTCCACTTGTTTTTCACAGTCAAACACTTTTTTACATGAACTAATCGAGCTAATATTTAAAAAAGTGTCAAGAACAAGCTTCATCAAATCTCTTGACTTACCCAAGGTCAGGGTATTTCTTGTCCATGGTTGATGTGAGAAATGTGTTCAAGTTCCAATTATTGTTGTTTTGCTCCATGGTTATTTTTCGCATGTACGTCAGACACAATAGTTTAAACATAAGAGTAGCAATGATAAGCGCGATTATAGCGCACTGAAAAAAACTCAGGAGCTTCAGGGCTATCGGCAAATGTTTAAAGCGGTTAGATGTTATTAGTTTTGAATATATTGTAACTAAAATGGTTGCCAGACCACTAACAAAAAGTAGATACGCTTTTTCTAGGGGAAGCGATTTCTCCATCCATTGCGGATAAAATGAAATTATATTACTAATGTCGAAAATACTATGAGAAATAAGAACAACAATCGATACGACTAGCAGAGGGCATAGAATGGTGTTATTAACAAATTGGTCAGTAGATCTTTTGAAATACGAGCCCATTTTCACGAAAGAATATTTTATAATCAGTTTGACAACTTTTTTGATGCTTAAGAACGATTAAAGTTAACTGTTCTAGTTTCTAAGGTCTTACCCTTAGCAACATGACGTGTCCACAATATCAGACACATAATTGTTGTATTTTTCTGTTTTAATGGCAACAATATGTAGTTAATACTATAAATAAACGACCTTATAACACCAAAATGTTTTTATTTATCAGACATTCAACGTTTGCTTTACATCTTCTTGAGGAGCGTTCACTAAATCACAAAGCGAAACTGACAGCACAAAGATTCATACAGTTTAAGAATTTTAGATTATAATTTAGTCAATGTCTCAGGCATAAATCTTTAAACTGGCAAGACGGTTCCATTATATTAAGTAGTAAAGCTTATTGTTAAAAGAAAAGTATTGTTGAAATAAATAACTTCAACTTTTGGTAAACAAAATGAAGAAGAAAGGGTTTTTATCTGTTGGAAATAGACACGTGTATAACAAAAACTTTATTATTATTTGCAACGTTTCGGGCAGAAGCCCTTCGTCAGGCAGTTTAAACTGCCCTACATAAAAAAAGGCTTAGATAGAAGGGTTAGAATATATAGCGATTCTAAATTACGTGCGTACTGCGTGGAGTACGTTAGAAAAGTATTGTTAGAAGGAACATTGTTGAAGAGGTTCCATAAACAGTTTTAAATTGGAAAACAAGTATTAAAGTGATATAAATTGGATTTTAGAAATTAAAAGGACACAGAAAAGAATATACATTAATTCGAAAAATGATAAAATAGTAATTTAATAATAATAATCAAGGAAATATGTGTTGGAGTTGTGAAGTTAACAAGTGGAAAAAAGATATTAACGGAAGCTATAATCGCTTAAAAAATACCGCTTCAATCATTAAAAAAACTGCAAGCTTTAAAGAGGCCTCAAAAAGGCACACATTTTCTTTCGATTTTCCGAATAAAGTTATTCGTAACTTATCTAGCTATACACTAGGGGAAGTAGAGAAAATGGTTTATCCAGAGGTTTGAGACATTCTCTAGTGCCAGAAAAACAGATATTATGATTATTTGGCTTCTTTTGAACTCCTATTAAGAAAACTCGAAACTTGTTATGTCTTTCCACCTTGAAACAAAACCTTCAATAATGTTAGAACACATATCAGCAGCGTTGCCCTCTCCAGATTACATTCCTATAATTTTGGGCCAAAACGATTCAACATCAACAAAGAAGAAAAATCAGCACCAGTCATACATAAATGAAGCAGTGATATTGTTATAACTGAACCAGACGAAGGAAACGACACAGTTATTTTATACAAAGCAGACTACATTGACAAAGTAACACAGATAATCAGTAACACTACCAAGTTTTCTAAACTATCGAACTACCCTACCTACTTCAAGAGAAAACAAACTTATTAAATTTAAAGAGAACTAATGGCTTGGATTATAATAAAGATATTGAAACAGTCGGTTCCCATATAGATACACTATATAGGCTGCCTAAGATTCACAAATATGATTGCTCCATTACATCTACTGTTTCCAACCTTTTTTTTATTTTAGTTACAAATTGTCCAAATTTTTATGTTAATTTTAACCGAATTTACTTTTAATAGTTACGCACTTAAAGACAGCTTTGAATTTAATAATAATGTTAGAAACTTGAGGTTTGATGCACACTTTTATTTAGCCAGTCTAGATATTGAATCTGTGTTCACTAACCTAACCCTAGATGTGTTAACCTTGTTTTTAAAGACAAGTAACATATTGTTATGTCTCTGTTCGTTTGTTAATTTCCCGTAAAAATTATTTCCGAGAAACTTCAGCGATACAAGTCCTTTCTTAATTAAAACTAGTTTATTTTTTCTCGTTACAAACTTTGTAATACACTTAATTTCCACAGTCACTTTAAACTTAACTACTTTTGTAAACATACACTATAATTCACAGCGATTCACACACTTTACTTACGGTGCCTACTGTTCGCTTGACTCGATTCTCTCCTTTCAATCCATCTCCGGCTTATATACTAAAAAACAGGGCGTCTAGTAAACGCTGAGACATTCGTGAGGTTGCCCGCTAAGTCAAGATCCTTCTAGAAACTCCAGCGCGCATGTTCCCAGCGTCGCGTGACTTCTGCAGTCGTAACACTACCCCTTGCTTAGTATTGTTCC